GCCCCCGTTCCAGCTGCCCCCGCAGCAGCGCCAGCTCCCGCCCCAGCTCCCGCATCCGGATCCGGCCGCTCTCCCGCTCCTCTTCCAACCGGGCCAGGGTCCGGCTCAGCTCCGTCTTCTCCCGTGCCAGCCCGGCCGCCAACTCGCTCGTCTTGGCCAGGGTGTCCCGTAGCCGAGCCTCCTCTGCCTGCGCTGCCCGCTGCGCCGCTGCCAGCTCCCCGCAGCTCCCCTGCGCCTGCCGGGCGGCCCGCGTGTAACAAGGTTTGGCTGGACTCTGCGCAATGCCTGCGCCGCTGCAGCGCCCAATGCACAGGGGCATTTGCTGCAGGGGTTGCACCCATTGCATGGGCTGAGCCTGTTGCCTAGGGGTTGCACCCGCTGCATTGCAGGGGGTTAAGCCCGCTGCATGGGGTGCACCTGCTACAGGGGTTGTACCCATTGCATGGGGTTGCACCTGCTGCACTGGGGGGTTAAAGCCCGCTGCATGGGGTTGCACTTGTTGCGTGGGCTGAGCCTGTTGCTTAGGGGTTGCACCCGCTGCATGGGAGACCTTGCACCTGCTGCAGAGGGGACTAAACCTGATGCATGGGGGGGTTGCACCCAGTGCTTGGGGTTCACCCCCTGCGCATGGGGCTTAGGGGTTGCACCCGCTTCTTGGGGTTGCACCCGCTTCTTGGGGTTGCACCTACTGCACAGGGGTGAGCCCGCTGCGTGGCAGTTGCACGCTGCAGGAGGGTGCACCCACTGCAGCAGGGTGCAGGGAGGGGGAATCGGGGACCCACCTTGCCCAGCGCCTCAGCCAGCGCCTCCTGCTCGCCCCGCGCCACCTCAGCCTCCAGCGTCGCCCGGCTCAGCGCCTCCCGCACCTCCAGCAGCTCCCGCTGCGCCCCTGCCCGCTGCGCCTCCAGCTCCTCCACCTGCTGCTGGCTGCCGGCACCCACGGTGGGGGGCACCCATGGGGGGGGGTTGCAGCACCCACTCGGGGGGTTGTTGCAGCACCCACTATTTTGTGGCACCCACTCAGGGGAGGTTGCAGCACCCACTGAAGTTTTGCAACCCACCCATTGGAGGGGTAGCAGCACCCACCTTGGGGTGGGGAGGGGCTTCAGGGCACCCACTTGGAGGGGGGGTTGCAACACCCACTGAGGTTTTGCAGCACCCACTTGGGGGGGGGGAGTTGCAAGACCCAATTTGGGGGCGGCAGGAGAGGTGGCAGCACCCACATGGCGGGGGGGCTTCAGGGGACCCACCTCGGGGGGGGCTTCAGGGGATTCTGCAGCACCCACTTGGGGATGGGGATGCTGCAGTACCCACTATCTCACAGCACCCACTATTCTGCAGCACCCACTATCACCCAGCACCCCGGGGGGGTGGCAGCACCCACCCATCCTCCCCTCTGCCCCCCCCCGTGCCCCCACCTGCGCTCCAGCTGCTGGCGGGCGGCCTCGGCAGCACTGGCGGCCTCGTCCCGGGCGTCCTCCAGCCCCTCGCCCCGGCGCTGCAGCTGCACCCGCTCCTGCTGCAGGGCACCCACCCGCTGCTGCTCCCCCGCCAGCGCCTCCTCCGCCCGCAGCCGCTCCCTGCCGGACAGACGGACGGACGGACACAGGTGGGCAGGGGCGATGCTCGCAGGTGGGTGCGCCGGGACAGATGGCCAGAAATAAATGAGTAGGGATGGATGGACAGACGGACAGGGCAGGATGCCCAGGGACAGACAGACAGGTGTGGTGAGGCAGGGAGGGATAGACAGACGGACAGGCAGGCAGGATACGTGGGGATTAACGTGCAGGGATGGATGCATGGACAGACAAACGGACAGGCCAAAATGCCCAAGGATGGACACACAGAGAGGGAAGGGTGTGCAGGGACAGATGAAAAAAAGACAGGCCAGGGGGATGGATAGACAGATAGATGAGGCGGGATGCGTGGGGACAGATGGACATGCCAAAACGCATAGGGAGAGATGTGAAAGGATGGAGGAACAGACGTGAAGGGATGGAGGGACAGACAGACAGGCCAAGAAGCACAGGGGCGGATACACAGGGACAGACAGATGTACAGAGAAGGATGCAAAGGGATGGATAGACAGACAGACAGGCCAGAATGCACAGGGGCAGACAGACATATAAAGGGGCAGAGAGAAAGATAAAAAGGGATGGACAGACGGGCAGACTGGCCAGGATGCAGGGGGATAGATGCAGAGGGACACACACAGATGGAAAGACAGGTGAGTCAGGATGCAGAGGGACAGACAGGCGCACAAGGATGCAGAGGGACAGACAGGTGCAAGTGTGCAAGTGCAGGGACAGCTGCGCAGGGACGGCTGGCACTCAGGACAGATGGACAGATGGACGGCGGGTACCTGCGCAGGACCTCGGCCTCGGCGCGCAGGCGGGCCACCTCGTGCAGGGCCTCATCCTGCGCCCGCCGGCAGCCCCCAGCCTCAGCGCTGAGCTGCTCCAGCCGCTGCTCCAGAGTCCCCAGCTGCTTCTTGCTGTCCCCCAGCTCCCGCCGCAGGCTCCCGGCCTCCTCCCGGCTGGCCTCCGCCTGCTCCCGGGCACCCTGTGGGTTGGGAGGAAAGAGGGGGTCAGCCATCATCATCATCGTCACCCTGCAGCCCCCCCCCAGCACTCACCTGCAGCTGGAGGTGGCGGCGGTGCAGGGCGGCATGCACGGCAGCGGCGGCGGCGTTGGGCGAGAGGCCGTGGTGAGGGGACGCGGGGGGACACGGCGGGGACTCTGGGGATGGCGGGGGCTGCTCGGGGTCGTCTGCTAGCACCGCCTGTGAGGGGAGGGGGAGAGGCCCCCCTGTCACCAAGGGGGAAACTGAGGCAGGGAGGGGACCGTCCTGGCTGCAGGATAGGGGGAAGGCCGGAGAGTCCCCAGCACCTGTGTGACATCCTGCAGCGTCCGACGGAGCAGCTCCACCTCCGAGCGCAAAGCCTCCACCTCTGCCGGCGACGGCTCCTGGGCACGCGAGGCCTCCTGCAAAGCCCATCGGCATGGCGTCCGGCACGGCCGGCGGGCATTGTGCCCGCGTCAGCATTGCACCCCGACATGCATCGCACCCCAGCGTGCATCGCATACTGCACCCCAGCATGCATCGCATCTCAACACGCATCATACATTGCATCCCAGCGTGCGTCACACCCCAGTGTGCATCATGGCTCACTGTGCATCATGTATCGCACCCCGGGGTGCATTGCGTACCATGCAGCATTAGAATTTGGCATGCATCATGCCCTGGTATGCATCATATCCTGGTGTGCACTGCACCACAGTACACATCATCTGTCACACCCTGGTGTGCAGCCCAGCTCAGCAGGCATTGTGCATTGCATCCAAGCACACACTGCACTCTGGCATGCATTGTGCATCACGCCCCGGTGCGCATCGTGCCTCAGCATGCACCGTGCATTGTGTTCCTGTGTGCACCGCACCTTGGTGTGCATCATGCACTGCACCGTGGTGTGCACTGTGGCTTGGCACGCATCGTGGCCCGGTGTGCATCGTGCATTGCAGCTTGGCACGCATCACGCCCTGGTGTGCACTGTGCATTGCAGCTTCGCACGCATCGTGTATTGCAGCTTAGCATGCATCGTGCCCCAGCGTGCATCACGCATCACACCCTAGCATGCACCCTGCCCCATCATGCACCCTTGCACCCCCAAATTCATCACACATCCCACCCCGAAACCCATCGTGCCCCGCGCTAACCAGGTTTTGCAGCTGCAGGGTCAGCGCCTCCACTGCCCGTTCCTTCTCCCCATCCTCAGTCCGCAGACGCTCCAGGGCCGCCACCAGCTCCGCCAGCCTGCGGCAAGACACCGGGCAGCAACGGGGTCCCCCGCACCCATCCAGTTCCTGCAAAACCCCTCCTTATCCTTGTACCTGGCTCCGAGGGCGGCTTTCTCCAAGTCGGCGTCCCGCGCCCGTGCCGCCAGCTGCTCCTCCAGCTGCGCCAACCGCATCGCCTGCTTCTCCCGCGCAGCACCCGCCTGGGTCTCGGCCAGCCGCAGGTTGGCAGCCAGGTGAAGGCAGGCGGCGTGGGCGGCCCTGCCCGTCCGCGACGCCTCGTGGCTCAGCTCCGAGAGATCCCTGTGGTGGGAGATGCAGGATTGAACCCGGCCATTCCCAGGGACCTGGTGGTTCTCGGGGACCTCCGGGGATCCCCCCTGACCTTTCAGTGGCGGGTTTCACCTCCCCCAAGTGACGGCTGGAGGGCACCAA